CAAGTTTCTGTCAAATGCTTGATAGAGTTACCTCCTGGGTACAGACAAAGGCATATACAAAGTTTTAAAGCCAGATGTCAATCGGCTTTGAAAATGTCTGAGGTGGTACGCAAACTTTAACACAAGTGGTTACGCCGACACTCGAGGTACTAGGATAACTCTCCTTATTCTTCGAATACTCAGCTAACAAATGAGGAATCTAAATTAAACAAAGACTCAAAACGATTGAATGAACGCCATGTTTCCAGTTTGATGTGGCCTTTTCATTAAATCATTAAATGAAATGTATATAAGAAACAAAGCAAAACAAGTGTAAATTTCTCCTATCTAAGGATTTTGTACAGTAAAACGCTTTTTTAAAATGGTTGTTCGTTTCACAATCAATCATTCACAGTGCATTTATACATGTTATTTAAACATGCTTGCATATATATCTAAATATAACACGATAGACAAAAAAGTCAAGACGTTTGGAAAACGATTAATTTAATATACGTTAAATAATTTATATCATAAAATTAACAAAAAAAATAGGAGCATTATCATTTTCCGATTTCATTTTCTATCATTTCTAATACCAAAACAAGCGAGAAAAGTGCGATAGGCGCTGGCGAAAAATCCTTTCTTTATTTTCTTCTTGTCTGTCAACTTGTTTTTTGTATTGTCTCGTACCAATTTCTCACTGATTTGCTCAATACCATTAGCTTGCGACTTGAGGCAGACATCCGTATTGTCGTTATTGTCATGTTGAATATATTTCACAGTTTGGTCATCTGTCGTCTGCTGTTTCGCGGGATGGCAATGGACGTCGTCTGCATGTCGACTTTCCCTGTTCAACGTAAATAATATAATGAAATTATTGTAACAAACATACACCTTGAACATCGTAAATTAATGTCATAAAATACTTAAGACATAACTGCTTTAATAAATCATTCTCTTAACATTCATTTCAATTGTACACATGGAAATTACTTGTTTATAGTAAAATCAATAAATAAGAATTGAAAGGAAGACCTTAATACCTTCGCTTTCGCAGAGAAAAAACATCTTTTGTATTCTGCCGTTTAGAGGACGGTTCTTTTGGAATTTCTGCATCATGTCTTTTTATATGTTGCATGTAGTTATAATGATCGTCAAGGTACATGTTCAACTCTGCAAAAAAATTTGCAAAAAATTTGCAGCATATTAATATAAGCTCCAAAAAACATACAACATAAAATTTGAATATCTTATATCTATGGATCACGCCTCCATTAGCAGTTTAATGAATACACACGCGTTACTTAAGGAAATGAAGTACATGTATAGTGAAACATTCGACCGATGCGCAGGAGAGTTTATAGATCTGACAACTGAGCACTCTACATTATCACGTTATAAGTATTAGAATCGGATGAAATCATAATTATTATCTAATGTTCAAACTTTGCCAAACAATCAGGAGTTCTTATTTACATTAACATTGCATTCTTCAAATGTAAGATGGTGTTGACAACGTATTGTTTATTTTTAAACTTTTCTATATAACGGCATGAAACTATATAAATCATTAGATAATAAGATTTCAATTACTTACCAAATGCATAGTCATTTATTTTTTCAGCTCTAGAACCATTATGATGTCCAGTTGTCCGACTTTTGCGCTGTCCAACTTGGCCATGTTTTTGTGGCATTGACCTCCTCTGACTTTGTGATGGTAAAGCGCTCTTACTTCGCCTTTTCTTCTGTGTGGTCTTATGCTGAACAGCTAATATAACGGAATAGAAGAATATAATTTCCAAGCGGGCAGCCTGAACTATGGCGGAAAGCGCCGAAACGTTACGATTGACAATAGTTACAGGTATTAAGTGGAATACTTAAAACATGCTAATAGTATCAAAAAAATAGGTCGAATTTTCTTTGTTTTTCGTATAAAGGACGGAAAACTACTTGCTTAGCATTTGACATGATGAAATGACATTGTAATCAACTGTAAACAGACCTGGGTCTAAGTAAGCATTCAAAATATAGTTTTCAGAACTACAAATATCACTGTCTCTGATTCATGCATGCAAATGAACAAAAATATCATTAAAAAGTTTTAAGAATTATTTCAAAACTTACAATTTCTGCGATTTGTCAATTTTCTTTGGGAGTCGTGTCCTCTATGTGTGCCACATATAGACTTTGCCCTTTTTGAGGAACACACTTTGTTCATTCTTGAGTGAGCTTTGTAGTCGTTTCTTGTTAATCTGTTCATAATTCACTGTAACAAGATTTTTATATTCAGTTAGTGTGCTCACAATAAATTAATTTGTTAAAGAGATTCGATTCAATGGAAATATTATCTATAGCTGACAACTGAAAACACATTTTCTCTCTTCCTTGCCGAATGGAAAGGATTTTGAATAGGATCGGAATATACTACTAGGGTTGACCATCAACGCCGTATATTATTACAACACTACTGGATAGCTTAAGGAAGCGGATTTCAAAGTGTGAAAGATTTAAACAAGAAGGAGCTGAAATAATTATAATTCTTTTCGTTTTATAACATTTTGAATCTGGTAACTAATCACAAAATTTTGTGAAATACGTTTCAATAAGGTTATTGTCAATTTGTAAATTAAAACAAAAATGTGTTTACATACCGTGATGCGTTGATATCAAATGCTGCGGAACGTCGTATCTATGAAATGTTACGTCAGACAATATAATGACGTCATGATAACGTTAACTATTGTCGTGGCAAATGACAATCGGATAAAGTAATCAAAGGAGATCAGCATGGACCATATGTTTATCTGATATAATAGTATGCATTATCAAGGCGATTTTCTTACCACATTTTAAGTCCTAGCTATTTTACTCCATAGAAAGTTTCCTATACCTATGACATGGAGGTCCCGATATTACGCCTACGGGCTTATGATTGATATACGTGTTCCTCTATGAATTTGTTGATATATATGATGACTGTCGTTTGCGACTGATCTTTAATAGTACTGTGCTGATCATTTCAATAACGCCTGAAGTTATTCTCGTGTTTTTCCGTAACATACTTTTATAAAAACCACGAGCTCCATAAAAGATAGAGCCGCGCCATGACAAAACCAACATAATGGGTTTGCGACCAGCATGGATCCAGACCAGCCTGGGCATCCGCGCAGTCTGATCAGGATCCATGCTGTTCGCTATCAGTTTCTTTACTTGTTATAGGGTTAGTAAGCGAACAGCATGGATCCTGATCAGACTGCGCGGATGCGCAGGTTGGTCTGGATCCATGCTGGTCGCAAACCCATTATGTTGGTTTTGTCATGACGCGGCTCAATTATATTTTTACTTCTTGGATAAAAATTGATGCATTTCAAAATGGGACGGACTGAATTGCTGAATTATTCCGTGCGCTCATATCAGTAAAATAATGGCAGTTGTGAATACAGCAAACAAACATTTTTAAATGAATACATAACTATTTAGAACATTTTTATGAAAAACCTAATAATTATTAAGTGTTATTTATCAAAGATTGTCCACATAAGGTTTTTATGACGGGACTGGAAATAATTTCCCCGAGATTAAATTAATATAAATGTTCCATTTGATGTAAGTCTAGACTGGTAACTTTTGTGCAAAAATGTCAGATCCTTCTCCCAGGTGAACCAGTGGACATTTCGTTAAACTTTCGGTTTCTACAACCACGCGGTAACAAGTATAATTATATAAATAATGTAATTTTTACTTTTATATTTATGAAGTTACTTAATTTAGATAGACTTTCACTAGATATTATGATATAAACTTAGTCAACAACTCCCAATATTAAAGTACTAATTGTTTACATGTTTAGTTTCTTCACGGATTTATATTAAATCCGTGGTTTCTTAGCGTAGGTAATACCATAGGAACTCGAGAACGGGACCGCAGATTGCGGCGCATATTTTCGATCGTGTAACCGTTTTTAAAAACGTGTCTGCTACATCTAAATATCTTTTAGTATTATCCGAGTGTATGGACTCAAAAAATATATTATCAATTGAACCCAATCTGTCTCTTTTAAAACTGGTCAAATTTTACGGTATTATAAAAAAGACAAGGAGTGACATCCGCCATTTGCCGCAACGTTTTCGGCATGAGTTTATCCCCTTTGGCTACAATTGATTACTATTTTTTCAGAATTTTGTTCCCGTTATTTTTGTCAACTATCAGGTATCGTCCGGATATAACGTTAACGGTTTATTGTTTACACGTGTTGACATGTATAGGCGGCATTATAACGGGCGTATTCGTGTTTTGATTTGTTAACATGGAGAAAACAGACACTTTAGTAATATGGTTCAACTGATTTTGCCTAACTGAAAAAGGGAATATTAAAACATGATCAATAGATAAATATTTTAGGCACTCATCTGGTTTTCATTACTAAAAAAATTAAAACAAAAATCAAGCATATCAAGGGGAATAACTTATGCCGAACGTTGCGGCAAATGGCGGATGTCACTCCTTTTCTTTTTCAATATACCGTAAATTTAACTTATTTTTAAATTAGCAGATTATATTAAATTGAGATTATATAATTAAAGACCACCCGTTCGCATAATATGAAAAGATATTCAAAGGTCGGACAAACAATATGTAAAGCCGGTACGGATTCGGATTTATGCGCCGCAATATGCGGTCCTGTTCCAGAGTTCCTATGGGTAATACCCGTTCTGTGTATTCGAGGTTTGACGGAAAGAGCCGAGAAGTTGCGATTGAGTTCAAGGAGGGAATGGACCCACTGGTAAATATGACTGACTTTCAACCAAAGGTTGGTTTGTTCAAATCCTGGTGATGTGATGATCAATTTCTCCAATATATCACCAGAACTGATTTTATGGATTTGTCCAGTAAGATATTCAAATAAAATATAAAAGAAAAAAATGAAGAAATTTGAAAAACGAATAATTTTATTTTACAAATTATATTATAAAATCAAAAACACAAAATACTAGTAAGTATATTGGCCTTTTCTGATTTCATTTTCTATCATTTCTAATATCAAAACAAGCGAGGACCCTGCGAAAGACATTGGTGAAAAGTCCTTTCTTTGTTTTCCTTTTGCAACTCAACTCATTCCTTATATCATCTTGGAGTAACTTCTCACTGATTTGCCGAGTGTTAGTAGCTTGTGTCTTTGGGCAGATATCTGTAATACTCATGTCTAGGTTACCATGTTTAGTAGATTTCACAGTTTGGTCACCTGACGTCTGCTGTTTCGCGGAGTGGCAATGGATTTCGTCTGCTTCTCGAGTGTCCCTATTCAATGAAACAATGTTGTAAGTGCTTGAACAAGTTGCATCGTAACTTATGACATAATAAATATTTAAGAAACTTTTAGCATATTTTCCCCCACAGAATAGTTGTCTTAAATATACAAATGGAAATCAATTGTTTACAATAAAAATGTAACAGCCATAAAATAAAATTTGAAAGAAATAATTTGATACCTTTTAAAATCTGGATTTTTCAGACAAAAAACATCTTCTGAAACTTTTGTACTCTGCCGTTCAGAAGCGGGATCTTTGGGAATGTCTACATCATTTCTGTTTGTATGTTGCATGTAGTCATAACATTCATCCAGGTACATCTTCAACTCTGGAAGAAACAAAGAATATTTAAAGAAGAGACCCCTATGGTTAAAGACTCTAAATATAAAACTTAAAATAAATCTTACAACTATCGGACACTTCATACCGATAATATTAAAAAGATAAGAAAGAAAAATGTACTCAGAATTATACTTAAATTGATATTTAGTAAGTTTTTATACGGATCTGAGCTTAAAAATTTATACTATTTCCATGTTTAGGTGACTTTTCACAATAAAAACGATTATTCTGGAAAAACAGGGTGAGCGAAAGATCTTGCAGACAAGTTATTGATATTTTCATCTAATGGTATACAATTTAATCTTGAAAATATATTTCCAGTATTAATATGTCAAAAGAAAAGTCCCCAATGGAGTCCAAATAAAGCAAAGTGTAACACAGTATGTGGTTATACTAAATATCTAAAAATATTTCATGCAATAAAGTACCAGTTATATAAAAGTATTCCATATATCATTTTCCTTGTGTAGAGCAGATCATAAATATTATTAAAAACAAACATAAGTTTTTATTTACATTTGCATTTCATCGTTTACATTTCAGCGTATTTTAAAACATTTGTATAACGATATGAATAGAATATTTATTATCAGATAATAAGTTCCAATAACTTACCAAATGCAGAGTCCTTTCTTCTTTCAGTTCTGGAACTATTATGTCCTGTTGCACGCCTTTTGCGCTGACCAACTTGACTTTGTTTTTGTGGCATCGACCTCCTCCGACTTTGTGGTGGTAAAGCGCTCTTACTTCGCCTTTTCTTCTGTGAGGTCTTATCCTCAACTGCTCATATAAAAGGAAAAAGAAGAATATAATTTTCAAGCGAACAGCTTGATGATGCAGTGCTCCATTCTGAACACTTTCCCGTGAAACGAAATATTAAGGCGGAAATCTCCAAAATAATACGATTGACATTAGATAAAGTTATTACGTGGAAAACTTTAAACAAAAATATCATTTGAATATTCAAAATTTACCTTTTCTGCGATTTGTCGGCTGTCTGCGGAAATCGTGTCCTCTATGTGTGCCACATATAGACCTTGCCCTTTTTGAGGAACAAACTTTGTCCATTCTTGAATGAGCTTTGTAGTCGTTTCTTGATAATCTGTTCATAATTCACTGTCACAAAACATTTATACTCACTTATTGTGCTCACAACAAATTAATTTGTTCAACACATAATCGATTACATTGAAATTGAATTTGATTTTTAATGATACACTTTCTCCCTTTTAGGACTATTGGCAGACCGGGGGACTCTGGTTACAACCAGCTTTCGACATACAACTTCCGTACAGGAGAATTCAAGGTAGACTCGAGAATGTAAACTTTTACCAAGGATGAGCTAAAATAGTTTTATAATATTTTGAATCTACTAACTGAGTTATAGTGACCATAAAATTCTATGAAAGACATTTAAATATGGTTAGTAATTTAAAAATAAAGTTGTTTGTTTGGTTTTACGGCGCACGAACGCACTACAGGTCATATGGTAATTAAAAAATAATAAATATGTTTACATACCGTGATGTGTTGATATCTTATGTTGCCGAACGTCGTATCTATGAAAAATTACGTCAGAAAATCAAATTACGTCATACAACGTTATATAGTGACGTGATAAATAATACGTAGAATGGGTATGACATTATCTATTATTCTAACCGTTATTGTAATCGTTATTTTTATGTCTTAGTTATATATCCAGATAAATATACAAATTAAGTATTTTAAACGGCTCTGATAAAACAAATATTTCAGTTTTTGTGAAGTTACGTTTCCGATTTTGTCCGATGTTTGAACAACGTACACGAATAAGTTGGTTGAACAAGTTGGAAAGATTAAGGAAAATTCGTTCAACATCAGGGTCTTTCTTCCAGATGTCATTTGACATTAAACAAGTCACATTAGATAATACATGTACTTAGTTGAGCTGTATCCACACTGCACTTTAATTGTAGCTCGTAGTCCTTCTCATTGATGACGATAGTATCTGTTCCCTGGTAGTTTCCTAAAGAAAGTTTTCCGAATGTTATCTCTTGTAATAACCCTCACAGATGCATGCCAATAAGGCACCATCTGCTGCTGTTGTTGTCATTGCAGGAATTCCCATAATGCAAGAAACATTACGTTTCAGAAAAAAAAGTGGACTGGTGAAATATTTCAAGTAAAAACTCGTTTCAAACGAAACAATAGAATTTATTTACATATAATAATTATACGCACAATATAAGTCGACTTAGTTTAGTTCAAACATTTTTACGAGGGGCATATTTCAATTAGTGGCAACGGCAGCAGCAGTGTTTATAAATAGACGTACACAACTCTTTTAACGCTCCAACAACTGGATGATTGCTGTTTTCACCTATTTTCATTTTATTACTGAGTTTATTGTCAGGCTCAAAAATTATCCCTTGTGACAATTTCTCTCAGGCGTCTAGGGCCTCGATCTTTGAAACAAGACAATAAGGCCCTCTTATGGTCAGAAGTTAGCAAATGCGGGATCTAACGGGCGAAGTTTCCTTAACTTTACTATCAAGATGGAAAACACATATGACGCACTAATTAAGGCCAGATATGTCGCTTATCTCCTACGGTATATCTGGCTTTGGCATTGGCGATGTCAGGGGTCAGAAGTAGCGGAAATTGGTGGCTAAGCGCGGGAATCATCCTTAACTTTAGTTCTACCTTACACTCACCTAGCAATTATACGATATGGAAGGGCATTTTCTCCGTTTTTATTTCTTTCGCGCATTTACCTAATAACCCATGAAGTTTGCAATAAGCTCTTTGCTCCTCTCAAATCACAATGCAACTCAGCCATGTTTACAACGCATATACTTAAATGACCTGCTAAAAATTTATTGCACGGGCAAATCGTGCGAAAATAGACTGTTGGTTAGAAAAATCAATAATCTTTCCAACGGTATATTATACATGTACTTTCACGTGCAAATCAATGTTAAATCGAGTTGTTGACAATAATTAAAATTTGCCACTCGTACGTAAGCAAGTTCTTATTACTTATATTAATAACTTTCTAGTCCGCTTCCTGGAATAACCAGTACGTATACTGTTGTAATATGAAGAAACAAGGTGGTGGCTCAAGTAAGGCTCGATCTTTTGGTCCCTGGTTTGAGAGCCAGACACCTTAACCATTAGGCCTTGACGGTCAAGGTCATTTAAAAGTCAAGGTCACGTGAATTAATCAAGTCAGTTTTGTCTTAAGTGTTATTTTTGTGTAAGAAACGAACCCATGAATAATTATCAAAAATATGGACATTAAAGCAAATTTTAATAATTGGACCAAAGTCCTTGATGGGTCGTTGACTTGTTGTGCACAAGTATAAGGACAAAACATTCATTAATTACAAAGTTATAATCAAACATATAATGCGCCAGTCCCAAATATGAATTTCTGGTTACAATTTTATATGACCCTGTATCATATCAATAATCATCTTTATGAAATCTGCATAGGAATAGGAAGACATTATATTTAAACCTGTGAATTTTTAATGTACAAATTATCACCTAATGTTAGAATATAATTAAGTTTTTTTTTAAACTTGCAAACAGCTGAGAAATTATTGCGGGAAAGATGATAATATTTTTATAGCTCTAGTGGCCAACTGGCCATCTTGTTCAGCTAACATGAGCAATTATACTCACTGGTTTATAAAACTGAAGAAAAGACATCTTTACTCACAATGCAAAAACACTTGCGGGTAGAGGACAAAATTTCTAAGGCCAAATACCAAATTAAAGTTAAACTTGAATTCTTGATCGTAATCTTCCAAAATTATGGATATTAAAAAAGGTCCATATTTATTTTGCATTTACTCCAAAAATCAGTATATTTCTTGTGTTATCAGTAAATCATGTTATACAAGATCACGATCATTTTCAGTTACTTGTTAGTCTCTGTGACCTTGCTAATTTTGTTCATGTATCCTTGACTGTAGACAGTGCATATCAGTATCTCTATTTATTGGAGCAGGAATTTTTTTTATTACATTGACTTTGTGAGACTTATGATTGAATTAAAAATTGTTTGTAGCAGTATTCAATTTAAGGTCATTTTGCATTTCATAAAAATGATTATTCTGGAAAAATGAGCTGCATTAAGGTTATTTGTATACATGTATTTATTTAACGGTACACTAAACTAGAAAAAATTTCAAATCTGGTAACATTAAAAACCTCAGTGGAGTCCCTTTAATAACTTCAAACAAGTCCAGTTTCAACAATCTAGATAAACAAATAAATCTTATACAAATTTTATTAAAATTTCGTAACTGACACTATGCCCTCCATATTTTGGGGCATTATAAATCTATTTTAATCATTTTTAAGCCAAATGGTATTTCAAACATTTTTTATTTTAAATACTAATCTGACATATTGTTACAATCTTTTATGTTGCACACAACTGGTCAAAAGTCAGTTATTATATCAAAGATAATATGAAACATCTGCACAAAGCACAACAGTATCGCAAGATGGCTTCCATGTATTGATCCACTAGTGAAATCTGTATCTCCTCTGGACCCCTGAAAAATAAATTTTTTAACATTTTCACATGTAGTATTATTATCAAATCAAAAGCCATCACATAGGGCATTATAATCGCCTTCTATCAGGCTCTAGGATTGTTTGTTTGTTTGTTTCATTTTACGCCTTTTCCCAACAGTATTTCAGTCATATAGCCGGTAGTTTCCTATCCATCGTTCCTGCAGAGTTACACCAGTACTAGACTACCTTCCTCCATGCTTAACTACCAAAGCATCTCCCGCGGATTGAACCCACGCCAGAGAGGTAACTGGATTAGAAGTCATCGACTCTAACCCCTAGACAAAAGGGGCGGTATGCCTTGTAAGGATAGCTTTTGTTTGCTGTGTGAGAAAGCGTAGGTTTACAATGCAAACTTAAAAATACAGAAATCAAGAAGGAAAAAGTTGAAATACATACATTTGTCAAATTAGATTAACTGTTACTACAATATAACTGAAATTTACCATTAACATGAAAAATATCATACATGGGTAATGTCCATCTTTAAATGTAGACAAAGATCTGGAAACAAAGTGATCCCTCGGAAGCATAAATCACAACAAATTTAAAAGAGAATTGCAGACTCGGTTTGATTGAGTCTGTACATGAGGGATAATGAATACATGCAACATCCCTCATGCCCCCTAGAACCTGCTTGAGTGGTACTCAATTCTCAACACTTGATAGTGCTGGCATCAATGATCCCCAAGGACCTGTCATCAAATTATATGTACTCACTGAAAAACAGAGTATAGACTATGAATAGATGGCACAGATCTTGGTCCACACTGTTTGCATTGGTATTTTTAGTTGGGGCCTGCAGACTAAAACTTAAATAATACATATATGATACATGTACTTACGTTTTCCACCATTTCCTGTTGAGAAGAAACCAGAAGTAGCGATGTAATTTACAGTCATTGTAAAAAACATAAGCTGCATAAAGAAGTTAATAGGCATTTTTTGTGCACGGTAATGCCTCGCTGTGTATCTGCTTATGCCTGAAATATGAAAAATCGGATTTAATAACATGTGTAGAATCAAGGTGTGAATTCATCATGTGGTCTACAGTTTGTGCAATTAGTTATAGTGCTATACTCAATGGCCTAATCTATAGCTTAAGTTTGATTGGTCAATTTTACTTTTATGTAGTAATAAGTTCCAGCCAGCACAATTGTGTGTCCAGCAGTTCAAACAGTTTTTCCACCTAACCCCATACTTTGTTTGAAGACCTTGCAAAGAAATTTCAAGTGCACACCCAAAGTTTTCCCTAAGAAATTATGATAATAGTAAGAACATTAACTGTCAGTAGGACAGTGTGCTTGACTATTCTCGCTGCTTGATAATAAAAAAAGGGCCCCGGGGTAATGTTTGAATTTTTTTAAAATTTAAAAAGGGCCCTAATTCCCGTCAAAATTCCCTGTTTAGTGTTAGAAATGATGGAAAATTTAAAAGTTTTGCCCCTCAAAAAAAAAGTGTATAAAGTTTCAAAACCCCTTTCCTTCAGTAGTTTTTTTTAGAAAACCCAAATTTCTGACAACTTTTCAACAAAAACTTAACCAAAGGTGTTTTTTCGGGTGCCCCGGGGTTTTTAAAACGCTGTTCCTTTTTTTTTCCAAAAAAGTCAGTAAATATGGCCAGCTGCAGTCAAATTAGCATTTGGCCATAATTCTGTCAAAATCCATGTTAGAGTTATGGGCCTTGTACAATTACCTCATATAATGTTCTCAAAAAAAAGTTTGCGAAGTTAAATCTTATTCCTTACAGTAGTTTTGGAGATACAACGTGTACCCAAAAAGCAAAAAAAAAACCCTTTAAACCCCAAAATGTGACACAATGCTTTTGTCCTTTGGTTTCAGCTTTCAAAAGGTTGAGTAAAAATTCAGATAAAACTGGGACCCGAAGTTTTTTTTTGGGGTAGTTTCCCCAAGTCTGGTTTATGGTCTGACAGATGTCCATGCTAACATTTGGGGTTTCCCAAAAGGGGGCTACTGAAAATTATTGTACTAAACCTTTTCATTATTTTTGGGGCCCCATAAGAAAAAATAGGGCCCGGTTTAAAAGCTAAGGTGTGAAAAGACATAAAGGGAAAAGTAAATTTAAATCAAAAATATGTATAGCTTTTATGTATCAGGGGAACTGACACAAAAGAATGGGGAGCCCCAATCCCCTTTTTTGAGTTTTTTGTCCTCTGAAAATTTTGGAAAAAACCCGGGTTTTAAAAACAAAAGTAGCTTACATCTTGAAAAAACACCAAATACATTTCGAGGGTTTCTATCAAAAGCAAGCAATTTTGATGGTATTTCTCCCAATTTTATGTCCCATGCTGACTGAACTGAAAGTAGAAAATGATTGTGAAGTTATGTATATATATATACTTCTATTATACAATTTATATTCTATAAAAACAGTGATTCAAGGCATTAAGCCTAAACTTGGCTAATGCCCACTAAAAATACAATATGATTAAGAAAATGAAAAACAAATTTACTTTATTCATTTGCAAATAAGGTTGACATTTAACTTTACTGTCGCACAATGTCAAAATAAAACTTAAAAGCGACATATAAAGTTATGGAAGCCAGAACGATCCAGAGACAGTTAGCCATTTATCACATCTCATTACTTTTATAGCAGTCATAGTGTGTTATTGGCCATAAAAATGTTTTTACTTATCTAGTCCAAAAAGGGGCCGAAAAGTCTCGTATGATATTTTTGGGTCGAAACGTCTCGGGCTCGAAATCGATAAAATTTCTCGCAAGAACATTTGACAACATTTCAACAGTACAACCAGGTTTAAATTTAGAAACCTATATTTGAAATATAATTGTTAAAGAGACCAGTCACATTTATCAATTCAAAATAGAAAATTATGCATGGTGATTTCAAAGGAACTTGACCTTCAGAACCAAAATCCTGCACTTACTCTTAGCTTTCCCATAGTAACGAGCTGGGTCATAAGGTCCATGGACACGTGCATTATAATCAACTGGGTATGGGTTATATGGTGGTGGAAATCTTCTTAAATTGATGTTAATCCTAGGTTTAAGAGGATCTACCTCTGCGGCCTGTTTAGCGACTTCAGCCATCTTCTCTCGAAGCGCATGAGTGGGCTTGATTCACTTTTGTAATTCTTAAGATTATTCCGAATATGCCGGAGCACATACGGCGTTATGACTAAACTACGACAGGAATTATTTTTGGCGAAAGGTAGGGAAAGAAATTTTTAAAAATATTTAATCTGACTTAAATTACAGTTCAAGATGTATTATATCTGCAATAATAAATACTGATTTTAAAACCTCCTCAATTTGTTTATCTAATCTTCGTTTTTATGTGTGTGTATAATTTCTGCTAAACCAGGGTCTTTCAAATAGAAGTTCTATTTGAAAGTCCCTGGCTAAACATAGCTGTGAAACCCAGCTTATCAGTGTTTCCCCAGAAAGGGTTCAGTGAAATTTAAAAGCAAGGGCCACAGACCGATGTCATTGTTCATGGACTTCAGAAAAGCATCTTTGATAATGTGACCATAAACAAGCTTGTTTCCTTAAACTAAACATAAGGACTATAGAGGTGTTAGCTCAGAGGTCAAATTAATAAGGACAAAAGGTCATTTTTATATGGTCGCACCCCCAACAAGTCGTTGTAAGAATGGTCAAAACTTGACCCAACCTACCACAGTTTCTTTCTTGGTGTCCCCCCCAAGGCTCGGTCCTGGGAAACCTTGCCCTTTTAATTAATCTTACAGAAATGAAACCTCACCCTGATAGTAAATTAACAGGGGAAGGGTTCAGAATTTGCAGACGAATACAAATAATAATACCTCTAACAATTAAATCAAACCCAAGAATGTACAAACCCTGCACAAAAAAGAATCTTCAACAGTCTTCGGAAAACTGGGATCCTGATTGGTCCATGGGGAAATTTTAAATCCAGATAAAATGTGAACTCCTTAGTATCAGCCCGCAAAAAAACATTCGTAAGGATTCCCCTTATAATGTAACATGGTCCCAACAATAAAACCATGAGGCCTGGAAAATTATTTAGGAGTAACAATTAGTAAAAGGATCTATTTTGGACGCAATCATACCAAACAACACAAAGCAATGCAAATAATTCAAATATGGATTTATAAAAAGAAATGTCAAACAAAACTTCAATCAAAAATGTTAAAGAAACTGCCTACAAAACCTAGCTATGTAAGGCCCCAGTTAATTAGCATACTGTTCCACGGTTTGGCATCCTTGGCAAAAATATCTGGTTTATTATATAGAACTAGTTCAAAGGTCAGCTGCCAGATATGTATACAACGACTACAATTACACCAGTAGTGCATCTAAAATGATAAGTGAACTTAATTGGCAAACTCTAGAGCAGAGGCGCAACATCAGCTCTTTTACCCTACTCTACAAAATCCAGCACAGTCTTGTTAGGGCAGCTGCATCCTTTTTACCAGCTCTAGTTCAGCTTTGCTTTTAACTTTTTATTTCAGTCTTGTAGTTCTTTTTAAACTTGCTTTTATCTTATACCTATAAATTTGCACTTAACACGTTTGTTTTTAACAGCTATTCCCAGACAACGCGCCTGCTTAGTGCAATCGTGAACGATTTTAAAGCAGTATGATGTAGATGTAGATGTGAAGTTGTATCATACTTTTTAATTGTGATTCGAAACATTCAGATTGCAAGATATTCCAGCATCCAAAGCTAGTTTCTGGTGTACCTTTGTGTTCTAGCTGGGTCTGAAAATCGGTTAGAATAACGTCGTTTAGGGAGATATTACATTATAACATATTTAAAAATCCCCTCACAATACATCAACGTAGTAACAGTTGGTTTTTTGGGACTTAAAAAAAAAACCCCCCTAAAAACTGAGAGCCATGCATAACTGCTTGCAATCACAAATTCGAATTGCACAACACGTAATAACTAGAATTTCTACACCAATAAACTTGCACTGCTGACATATTGCATGAATACAAAAATCCGGAATAGTTTTGCAAGAAAAAGATAATTTACCTCGAACAAGTATATATCTTTTTAAGAAAATATTTCTTGTTTCTATGAATACGGGATTGATTTTCATCGAGTGGTTTGAAGATAAATATTAATGAAATCATTTTGGAATTAATATATCATTAATTTATAGAAAACCTGTATTTTCTGTTTATTTTAACTTTTCTCACTTTTTTAAGTGGGTGAGTTTAGAGGAAAGAAGTCTTGCAAAACACCATTTAAAAATATGTTCATGCAATGAAAAATAATTATTTACGGTGAAATGAGGAAAATGAATAAAAATGCAATTTTTTTTTATCAATATGTCTCAATATTTCAATTATAAGTATACTGTATGATAAAATATAATGTTATATAGTAAGCCCCAGGCTATAGGCAGAAAGGTAGATGCATTATGTACATTGCTTTCCTACATTAATTAGATATTGATCGAGAAGTGGGTGATATTAGAGAGTACCATGTAATATATAGAACAGAAAACATAAAAGCTTATCACCATCAAAAATTCTAGGCTGAGGTAATAAGTATGCAATTGCATGTTGATGTTAATTCCTTCTGTAAAAAGAATATTAAAGCGATTTTCCTTTTTCTGGTCCTTGTGTGAATAGTCTTCAAAGTCAGTGGATAGAATAGTATATTAATTGAAAAAATCCAAGTAAAAACACATACACTTACGTTACAATTCTTTCTGGTTGATTACCATTCGCATCATTGTGGAAAAATGGCTTGGAAAATGGATTTCTTTTCGCACTTTAGATTTTCCCGTAAGACCAGATAATATTCTGTTCTATTCTATTCTACTAATCAAGCTCGCCAATATCGGGACTATAGACACAAATTGTCAGAAAAATGACAGATTCTTGGTAAAATAAATCCTGCTGTACCCTATATATATGCATCTTAATTAAATTATTCATTTTTTTTAAAGATGTTCTTACTCTTTTTTTAATAATGATTCTTATAAATATTGAATTTAATGAAGTAAGATTCTAATTTGGGGGCGTTTAACGGTTTTAACAGTGTAAGATTAAAAAGAATATTATAGATCTATTTTATGTTGGAACTCATAAAGATAAGAGAATTATATCAGTGGTTATGGCATGACTTGTGCTTTTATGCAGAGATACTCTCAGACATACAATAATAATTCGCAATTATTTTTAAAGCCATTCCATGAGTCATGGTCAGGTGCAGGAAAAATTGCTTTCTATTTATAAGACTAAGTGGTTTTTTACATATCTATACATCTATGTGCATGTAATAAAGCCCATGTTTATAATTTTTGTAGATGTTAACATGGCTGCAAAAAAGTGAAATGCTGCCATTTTTACAGTGGTACTTCTTTGTGGTAGGGATGTGCGGTATTACCGGTATACCGGTATACCGCGGTTTCGTTCAGACGCGGTACGTACCGGTACGACCCCTAGGAATACCGGTTTTTTAATATATATAATTTTACATAATATTTTTGTAAGATTCGGACGTTATTTACCCTGTAATCTGTGTTTCAACTTTCAACCTAAATTAAAGTGGAATTCCAAGTCTATTTTTAGAGCAGCAGTAAATGCACAGTATAATACTCTAACGAATAATTAGTCGCGGAAAGGTCGGATCGTTTCCCGGTTGTTTTTCATATTTATTATGTAGTGTAAATACATTTCATCGCCGACATTTTATATAATTTCTATATATCATTCTTCATTTAAATGCATTAAAAGGGACACCCATGTTAGTGCTCAGTCTAAGGCTAGTAAACATGTTGACGTGTTGACGAGTGGCGACAATAACAAACGTAAGCATTTAGACATAGCCCAACTTGTAAACAGCTCATACCGTCATGGACGAATTCACCACGGTCAAAAATCCAATGGGAATTGCCATTTTTTCTGTTTTAGATTTTGTTGAAAATATTATCAAGACAATAAGGTTATTTCCTTCTTTCTTTTATTTATTATTTTCCAGTCAGGTAGACAGATGTTAGTTGAAAGAAATAAAGATATTAATCTGTTTTTCTAAAATGTATTGTGTTTTATCAAAATGTTTAAACATTCTTATGGCAGTTGGTCTTAGTTTGCATAAGTTAAACATTAAAAAGTGTCTTCATAATACCGTGGTACATACCGCGGTACACAGGTGAAATACCGCGATATACCGCGGTACAAAAAAATTGGTGGTACCCATCCCTACTTTGTGGTATACTTCATCTTATATTCAAGTTGCCAATTTCATTTCATACTATTATTGAAATTGTATACAGCACTAAGTCCAACTTGTACTACATGATGAGATGTGTTATTTTGTGTATCACTAGGGGCAATATCTAGTCCAACTAATTGTACCATGCGATGAGATATTGTGCTATATTGTATTAAAAGTATTTTGTGTATGGGCAATATCTCCCCTCTATGAAGCGACATTCTGATCCAGAACAAAGATATCTCAGAATCTAGCTTTGGCACATCAATATATTTTGACTAAGGGCTCACTGCGAGGGAGTCAGACATATTAACTGATTTTTATCCCCATTTCGCCCTTTCGAAACATCAAAGAAAATTCGACTTCGCCGATAAAGTATTAAATCCTGAGCAATTACTACACAGTAGTTCCATTATCTAAACATAACTGTCAAATGACATCGCATTAGCATATAAAACTTTAAAGAGTGATAATATTTTTTATTTTGAAAAACTGATAATGGGGAATTAACAAGACAGACATTATTTTGTATGTAAATTTAGTGCTAATAATCTGTAGAATCCCTCAGACTTATTTAATCCCTTACTCTTCACACTTGGGCTTTACATGTATATATGTCAATGCATCCTTGTTTTTCTTTAGATGTTTAAGCAAGTAAAAAGGTGCATTAACCCTTTCACTGCCATAAGGACGGCATATGCCATCCCTATTATTTTCGGCGTATTTGCCATGGGGACGGCTTTTGCCGTTTCTATGATAATAATAATAATTATTATTACAATAATAATAATTATAATAATAATAAAAAATATATAGATATATAGATAATTATACCATCAACAATAATTATTATATACTAGCAGATTTGGAAACATATATAATTATTATAATACTAATAACAAATAATAATAATTATATTAATTAATAATATAGTAATTTCTTAGAAAACCATCTGGCAAATACAGGTGATCAATAAATAAATAATCCTCTGGCAGCGAAAGGGTTAACATTCTATTGTATCAAAAATGTCTAACTCTAAGCAATACCAAGTTGTAATAGGTACTAGTGTATACATCTCACAATAGTAATTACATTTCTGATTATTAGAATAAATACATCTATAGTTTGGTCTGGCTGCAACAAATGGGTTATTTTAGTGGAAAGTTGCATACTTCCACTTTAATCCTATAATTGTACTTCTTTGCAACATAATTGAATGACCAAATAGTATAACACAATGTCAAAATTATATTTTAATTTTGTCACAGTTTACTATTTAGGGTAGATGATTTGTAAGCGGCCAGATAGCTAAGTTGGTAGAGCCGAGGTATGGTATTCAGAGGGTTCTGGGTTCCAGTCCTGGTCAGGCTGCACATTTTTCTCACCCTTTGACATTTGGCGCCCCACTGGGGACCGTGACTGGATAAAGCTTAGAGTTTAATTTACATTACTCTGTAACTCTGTGAATTCGAGGATGAATTTCAATATAGCAGGAGAGTACATTGTATATCAAAGTCCAAAACTGTTCACTATTTAGGGGAGATGATGTGTAAGAGGCCATTTAGCTCAGTGGGTAGAGCCGCAGTATGGTATTCCGAGGGTCGTTTTGTCTAAAACTAAAAGATTTGTCATTTACTATACTTGACACTGCTCAGTTTTTCACCTCTCTGTTAACTTAATTAATTTTCAGTAATATACCTAAGTATTTAGTTTTGTATGCTAGACAACAATGAATAAAAAAGTGGATACCCATTATTTTACAGGCTTACAGACTATGACAGATGCCTGGAACTAGGGCAGGATATAATGCAAAAAATCAACGAAAGAAACAAACATAACAGAACCAGTACTCCATATACAAAGGTACATGAGTGTGTATAACTTGCATTTATTTAGATCAACCATTGAGAATTCTTTTCTTTTTGCTGAAAACCTCATCTGTTTTTAAGACTACATGTTTGCATATAAACATTATTCAAAATTTCCGTAACTTATTACATGTATCTTTTTTTGTAAAATTACCAATTTTAAGAACAGTTCTGACCATTTTATACATGTATATATTTTGTAGTTATCAGCACAAGTACGCTCATCTATGAAACAGTTTTCTGGAGATCTACAAAAATTGAAGAATGGATTGATCAGAGCAACATCATCCTATCACATGTATCCTTCATGATCTTTAGATTTGATACAGACATTGGTTCAGACTGTAGATGACCCATATTTTCAGGTCATTGGTCAAAGGTCAAGGTTACTGTGACCTTTACCACAAAAAGCTTAAAATGATTGTTGGTAAATATGCAATATTTTTCAGGTACCTGGTATATTACATTAGTGCAGAAATGAAATCAGATTATCATTTATATAAGTCATGTTATATATTACATATCAATGTGTATGGTTTATTGTGAACACAAGCAACTATAACTTCTGTTCACAACTTCACAATATCATTTCTTGTAACCTTATTTAACTTTTATTGTTTGTTATGGGCACAGGAAGTAGATGTTTCTACCCGCTGTGTGTAGATGCTTTTACCAGGTGTGTGTAGATGCTTTTACCCGCTGTGTGTAGATGCTTTTACCCGCTGTGTGTAGATGCTATTACCAGGTGTATGTATATGCTTTTACCCGCTGTGTGTAGATGCTTTTACCCGCTGTGTGTAGATGCTTTTACCCGCTGTGTGTTGATGCTTTTACCCGCTGTATGTAGATGCTTTTACCCGCTGTGTGTAGATGCTTTTACCCGCTGTGTGTAGATGCTTTTACCCGCTCTATGTAGATGCTTTTACCCAGTGTATGTGAGTCTTAGATTAAATTTTGACAGCTTAAGGTCATAACCCAAGTTCATCTGCTTTTCCTTGATGTTTAATAAGAACACAAAGAGAGGTGGAGAGACGCCAAGTAATGATAGACAATCTTACAACGAAAGAAAAACAAATTGAACAAGCATTCCGCAATGAGGCAGGAGAATCCAGGTAGGTGTCACAGATGTTATATAGTTGTATTGTTGCATTATTGTAGGATAAGCATGGTAATAGTGGGACACACTGGCCAGGGACAACTTGTTTCATATTTTCTGTATGATGTGAAGAGTAAAATATAGTGTTTTGGTAAAAGAAGTTGAGCAGGGTGTCCATTTGACCCTTGAAATGACCCTTTTATCCTTCAAATTGCTTAAAGGCCTGAATTGATCCTCAATATTTTAACTGAAGGGTCATATTTTGTTCAAATCATGAGATTTGACCTTAGAATCAGCAAAACTTAGTCCATACTGGCTTCCGGATTCATGCCATGGCTAGTGGACCCCTGTTAAGTTCATTTAGTTTGCTTGGAAGCATGTTTTTTTTTAACAGCATCTAAGTTTTTTACCAAGATGACTAAAATAAATGTGCTCTTATGTGTAAAAATATTTTAGGTACAACTTGATGACTGGAGGATCAGAATCGGCTGATGTATGGGGGGTTCGTGAAGAGCCAGAAGATTTGAGAAATGTTGGCAATTCTGAAATACGAGTACAACAACAACAAATTATACAAGGTATTTCTGTCTTCTTTAAAATTTTAAAAACTTTAATACCTACTGCAGACTAAAAATCAATAAATACATGCTGAAAAAAGGACGCATAAAGTTTATATGTTTTATCCTTTTTATTTGAAAATAGAGGATAATACATCTTTTTTGTTGCATTAACATCTGTGGAGGTACTAGTAAATATATAAAGTCTCAGGCAGGAGGGAGAGAAATTATAATTTGGAGGGCTTCTGCGGATTACAAATTAAAAAATGTAGTGCGTAAGTGCTCTTCTTGCATAAAAGTACATGTCTGATTCGGAAATTCTGCATTGCTTTATTTGTTTTTCATATAAATAAACATTTCGTCATGCTTTTCACGGGCTAGTGGGATGTCATTTGACAATTGTATTTTGATGATTAAATAACCAGTTTATCTATCAAAGTAAACTAATTTTACCTGGCACCGAGTCATGCATATTTAGAAATGTGCAACAACTGTACATGCCTACTTGATTTTATCTATTAATGATTTTTGTTAGCTCACCTGAGCTTGCTCAGGATGAGCTTTTAGGATCGTTGAATGTCTGTCATCCGTCCACATTTGTTCGTTAACACTCTAGTAGTCATATTCTTGCATCAATCATAATCAAACTTTGTCAGGATGCTTTTCTAGGTAATTGCTCTTGTTTGTTTGTTAATGTATACCTGCATGCACAGTTTTTGTGCAAGAATACTTGACCTGTGTTTCCATATTATGGCATTTTAAAAATAGAAAATAAAGTAAAAAGCGGTCACTCAAAGAGTTGTCACAATTTACCATCATTGGTCTATTCACACATTACAATAGATAGTGGGATAATAATCAGAAGGGTGGGGGGCAGGGAGCTGGAGAAGGGGATAAAACATGAATATGCTCATGTCTGTGGCATGACAGATTTGATTTTGTTTGTCCAAAATTGGAAAATAAAATTGTGAAAGTGAGAGAAAAACTGTGAATGAGAGCAAAAATTCATTCAAAAGCAAGAGCATTAACATATATTGTCCGATTCTTTATATTTCAGCACAAGATCAAGGACTTGAAGCATTGTCTGATGTGATTGCCAGACAGAAAAATATGGCATTAGATATTGGAAATGAAGTTGACTCACAGAATGGTATATTTAAATATTTATTAAAATGGTTTGTCTTACGGGCGTAATTTATTTAGGATGTAATCAAATCATGAATTTTTATATATCAATAACCAATTAATATAGTATTTGAGTATTTATATAAAATTATAATAACCAAAGCTTTTCTGGTGGAGGAAGACCTCAATATATGTTATTATCCCCCACTGATGGAATCGGGAGGGGGATATAGTTTTGGCGTTGTCCATCTGTCCTTCCGTCCGTCCATCCATCCGAATTTCATTTCCAGACTAGTTCTCTGCAACTATTGGCTGGAATTCAACGAAACTTTATGGGAATCATCAATATCAAGAGGAGATGCGCATATCGTCAGCTTGTTCCGGTCAGACTCTTTAACTATGGCCCTTGATTAGTTATGTAGTATGCATATAGAGTAAAAATCGTTTCTGCGCTACTTCTCTGCAACTACTGGCTGGAATTCAACGAAACTTTATGGGAATGTTCAATACCAAGAGGAGATGCGCATATCGTTGCCTTGTTCTGGTCAGACACTTTAACTCAGAGTCATTGCCCTGATTAGTTATGCAGTATGCATATAGAGAAAAAATATTTGCCGCGCTACTTCTGTGCAGCTACTGGCTGGAATTCAACGAAACTTTATGGGAACCTTCAATACCAAGAGGAGTTGGGCATATCGTCGCTTTGTTCGGATCAGACACTTTAACTCAGAGTTATGGCCCTTGATTAGTTATGCAGTATACATATAGAGCAAAAATCGTTACCGCGCTACTTCTCTGCAACTACTGGCTGGAATTCAATGAAACTTTATGGGAACCTTCAATAACAAGAGAAGATGTGCATAAAATTGCCTTGTTGGGGTCAGACATTTTAACTCAGAGTTATGGCCCTTGATTAGTTATGCAGTATGCATATAGAAAAATATTTGTTTCCTCGCTACTTCAATGAAACTTTATGGGAACCTTCAATACCAAGAGGAGATGCACATATTGTCGCCTTGTTCGGGTCAGACATTTTAACTTAGAGTTATGGCCCTTGATAACTTATACAGTATACAACCAGAGCAATAATCGTTTCTGTGCTACTTCTCTGTAACTACTGGCTGGAATTCAATGAACCTTTATGGGATACTAAGAGGAGATGTGCATATAGTCGCCTTGTTCCGGTCAGATACTTATAACTCAGATTTATGGCCCTTGATTAGTTATGCAGTATGCATACATCTCATTGGCATTTCCAGTTATTACTATTTAACACAGAGTTATGCAGGCCTCGACATTAGCAGTGGTCCCTTGGTCCGAGACCACCTGGTTTTGTCAAGGACCACTTAATTTTAAAGGCCACTGGTCCGTCGGACCACTTGAATTTTTATCCCCCGCCGAAAATGTTCGGCGGGGGATATAGAAATAGTCTCCGTCCGTCCGTCCGTCCGACCTTCCGTCCTTCCGTCCGTCCGTCCTTCCGTCCGACATTTTTGTCCGGAGCATATCTCTAAAAGTATTTGAGTTATCAACTTGAAACTTCATAGGTGGATAGACCTCATTGAGGAGGAGTGCAGTGCACAAGAATGATAACTCTACCCTGAATAATTTTTGAGTTATTGCCCTTTGTTATTTTTCAAAATTAATTTTTGTCCAGAGCATAACTCCAAAAGCCTAAGAGATATCAAAATGAAACTTTATAGGTGCATAGATCTCACTCAGGGGGTGTGCAGTGCACAAGAATGATAACTCTACCTGTTATAATTTTTGAGTTATTGCCCTTTGTTATTTTTTTTACTTAATTTTTCACCCGAGTGAAGCATAACTCGAAAAGTGTTTGAGATGTCTACATGAAATGTCATAGGTGGATAGATTTTATTGAGGAGGAATGCTGTGCACAAGAATGAAAACTCTTCCCTGTACAATTTTTGAGTTATTGCCCTTTGTTATTTTTCATACTTAATTTTTCAATTCAATTTTTTTCTCAAAAAGTATTTGAGGTATCAACTTGAAACTTCATAGGTGGATAGATTTTACTGAGGAGGGATGCAGCACACAAGAATGATAACCTGCCCTGCATTATTTTTCAGTAATTGCCCTTTGTTATATTCAGCCATCAGTATTCACATAGGTTTCAAATCTGTAATCACTATAGCCATCAGTTTTCATTACCAAAAGACCTCCTAAAATGGAATTATTCTGCTCTACTACTTGTACATTCTTCCAATGAGCAAACACATTCGGCGGGGGATGGCCATGTTGACATGGCTCTTGTCTGGTTGGTGCAAGACTCATTTGGGAGAATGGCGATTGGGTCAAAAACATGTTATATACATTTTGTTTAAAATAATTAGTCCGATGTACATGTACATGGTTCATAAAAAATACAAAATACATTAATCTCTGATTAGTTAAAGAAGTTCTTAAGTCATCAATAACTTTCATTTTCAGTCGCTAATATTTTGTTTATGCAAGTTAAACGAGGTAAATTTTCATGATATTAATTTTGGTACAAAATTCATTCAAATGATGCTAGTAAATATGCATCGTCGGATACCCACGGCAGAACCATTTACATTTATGTTATTTTACATTTCAATTAACCGTGGGTATCTGGCGATGGTAATTATGATATTGTATGGGGTATCTGAAAATTTCATATACTTGACTTGAATAATGGCAGCAAACGAAAGGAACTGTAAAAATACATCTTGTAATTCTTTGCTACTTTTCTTTATTTTTACTGTTTAACGATGAGAGATCCATTTCTTCCAGAGTTAAAAATACTTTAAAATGTTAAAAATGTTCAATGTCAAAAATAAATATCAACCAACAAGCAACAGGGAGGTAAATATTCTGTATTCATAATAATCAGTGAGAAAAATAAGCTATTGTTATATATAACGTTGTTATTATTTTTTATCCTTTAGATGTTTCCTTGTTTTCAAAGACAAGAATAAGATAATTTATTACTTTTATTAAAAATGTTAATCTATAAAAGATACATGCAATAATCATGATTATAAGACGTACAATGTATCAGCAATGTATATTTGAATAACAGTCAGAAAATAACAGACAAAAATTGTTTCACTATTCCCTTGAGTTGAGGGAGAAGTCATTTCAATATTAAACTAAAAGTTACCATAAATAAGAGTCCTGTTGTTTATTTTTAATGAGATAAAGAAACAAACAAATAACTTCACGATAGATTTACCTACTAACTTGCTCTACTTAATTTCTGATTAGACTAAAATATCTGTTTTATTGAACGTTAATACATGTAATACATATTTGTCATCAATTTAAGCATACATGTATATTTTTCTAAATTTGCAGTAAAATGATATAATAATAAAAATTGACCACTTGTTTTCTGGAAGGACCACCTTAACTTCAAATCTAGTGGTCCAGCTTACCACCTGCTAAAAAAGTTAGTGTCGAGGCCTGGTTATGGCTCTGTTATTGCCCTGAATATTTATCAAGTTCAAAGAATATTACTGTTTATGCTATGATTAATATATAAATAAAGCCTTATGTCTTCAGTTGTTGTGTTAGTAATAACCAGTACTCGGTGGGGGATATAAATTCAACGAATTTGTTTGTTTAATACATAAATAGCAACAATCTTCTAGAATTTAAGGTTCTTGAGTTTGTTATTAATATAAAGTATTGTATTTTATAAGATCATATTTCCTTTTCATGTAATTTTAACCTTTACACAGCAGCATACCATGATTCATTCTGATTTTATTAACAATTAAAAGTTATCCAGGAAAACCTGTAATTGGATTGAACCAAATAATGTAAGAACAAACAAATTAAAAAAAAAAACAACATTTTTATATCATACAAAAACTGTATGCTTACAAATGTAAATGATATATGTTGAAAGAAGTTTACCAACATGATTCTTGATAAAAAGAATTGTTTACTTAATTTGACAAATACATCAATACATAAATATGGCCCATGCCACCTGTAGGAAGCTATGCTGATGGTTATTAAGGAAGTCGGAACATGAAAAGAAACCACCAAAATTTTAAGAATTGGGTGTAGAATGGCTATGGTAATCTAACTTTTGATCTCAGTTCTCGGTAATACAAAATTAATGCATATCTTAAGAATAACAATTTTATATCACAAACGAAAATTTCTGCTTTTAACCTTCGAATACAATTTTTGATTTTCATATCCAAAATTCCAACATAAAGGACAGTAATACATCTTTAAATGATGTCGAAATATAACAAGATATTGAGATCATATGTAACAAGATATTGAGTTGAAGATGAGATATGGAATTGAAATATAACACAATATTGTTTTGAATAAAAAATGAGATATTGAGCTGAATATAACAAGAGATATTTTTTAATATTTACAGATTTGATAGATGACATCACTGACCATACAGACAGGACAGGTCATAGATTGATTAAGGAAACAAGACATATAAGAATAGTAGATAGAAAATCAGCTACATGCTGTAAGTACCTGTATATATGATTCACAGAAATATTGAAGCCTTACCTTGGTGAAATTGAAAGTTATTAGACATTTTACCACCAGTATAGAGCCAGGCAAGCCTGATCGTCAGTAAAATCTTACCAGATTCTATACTTTTAGCAGATCCACTTTCAATTTTCATCTTAATATCCTCGGCATTGCTAATGAACAGTTTTGAAGTTAGAAGCTGGTCAAGGTCAGTAGGTTAAGAGTGAAGCCTGAGTGAATTCTGATAGACATTTCTTCTATACTTCTTTCTTAACCTTACAAATAGGTCAGTATCCAATATTTGCAGTGTTAAGTGGATTGATTAAAATTTGTTTAATTCCTGATTTTGTATTAGTATTTTCTTTGATTTGTTTTTAACAATCTTGATAAATATGTCATATTTCTGACACTTGTTTGCAGCTGAGTATGAAGTTAATACCTTAAGATATTCAACAAAAAGTTGATTAAATGATACAATGTGTGATTTCTATGTGCAATACTTATTAAAGTGGTTAATTTTCATTGAAAATACCGAAATGCTTTTTTGCCTGACCTTCCTTGGCGGAATTACAGAAGACTGTGTGGAATTCAGAAAAGCTTTTACTCCCACATTGTCCTAACATTGCGAGATGAATGCTTGGTTAATATTTTGTTTTAGTTTTGGGGGATGTAGTCCAAAACAGCAGGGGCTATTGCCTTTTGTTGGGGGCGGATAGGGCGGTTAACCCAAAATAGCAGAGTATTGCATTTTGTTTGTGGGGGATGTAGCCAATATCCCAGGGGATATTGGCTTACTTGTATGAAAATAGCATTTGTAGTTTGATTTTATAATGTGACAATCAAAGCAGGGCAGCTAATCCTGCTAACCCAAGGGTGGTTGGGGCTATTGTTTTAAATGACAGGTGTATAACAAGATATTCACTACATAGTGATTATATTTGTATATTTCAGGTTACTGGGTATTTATTGTACTTCTATTTGTGGCCATACTGGTGGTGATTATTGTTCCATACAACGGTAAAGGTGCCTAGCAAAACTTACACAGGAAACAGACAAATTTTTATCATAGACATGTATATTATATGTATATAAATATGTAAATTTGTGAAATAATTGATAAATGACTGCCTTATATAAAACAGTGTATTTTTAGCTCCATATTTTGAAGAAAAAGGGGTGTGTCATGACCCACTTGGTAATGTATTTGGGAAAAACAGTGTATTTTTAAATGTCTTAAAATAGTATACATGCAGTGGGTAAACTTAATGTATATGTAACATAACTATTGACTATTATTACTCCAGTGGATATTGGCAGTGATTATATAATACAGTCTTTGCCACCAATACAGAGCTTGACTATCCTTAACTTCCTCACAGGCTCACAAATCTCTATACTGTTGGCAGTGTCGTCTGCTTAATTTTGTTATTGCAATTATCAATACTGAAATCCCTTCTAATCAACTACAAATGTTCTGTTCTATAATTTAAAAGCAGGGCAAGTTCATTATGCAAGTTTTGTAAGATTACATTAATTTTGTCACCCTGTGATTTTGATTGACTGAGTTAAGTGTGTGTTATAAAAATTGATATCCAACTGATGTTTTAATAATTCATGTACATAATTTAATCATAACCTATGAAACAGGTATGCCAATTCAATTTGTATGTTAAATCCGAAACTATTACAGTCATTGGTTAAATTTTTCCTGATTCTGGTAAATTCCGGACATGTTTTAAATGTCGGACCCCCCCTTCACCCCCCCCCCCCAAAGAAAAAAAAAAACGAAAAAAAAAAAAAACAACACCATACCCACTAATGTGAGCATTTAGTTGTTTTGTTTACATGTATATAAATCATTGTTTTATGTTAGACAGCTTCTTTGTAAATTGAAACTAACTTTTATGTACATAATTTCTTATTTGATGTCCCCTTATGTGTGATGGATGTGATAATTGTGCAATAGAATGATAATGGGACCAAATGGTCATCTTGTTTTATATATATATATGCAAAACTTAATGGCATGTATATGTGATTTAGAATACATGTATTATATTATGATAGAGACATAATAGTAAGGGCAACTTTATTGAGTGTTTACATTTATAGCTGAAGCACTTTGAAGTTGAAAAATAAATTAAATTTATATGATAAAAATGTTTTTGTGAAGACAAAACGACATTTTATAAGAAAATTAAGTCTAAAATAATTATATATATACTGAAGAGCAGTTTTTTTCCTTATTTGTTTTAACTCTTTGCCTGCTTGCGGCAATTGAATCTATCTGTGCCAGAGGTGCAGACCTAGATAAGCCGCGACATCTGTTCTTGAATCCTTTCAGGGACTTTGTATTCTTTTCTATGTGGAAGCTATCCAGCTAGCTATCAGAATGTTGGTGGTTCTACTCAGGTGCCTGCTCGTGCTTGAAACAGTGCACGAAAGGGTACCTGAGGTCTTCCTGTACCAGGAACCATAGGGCTTTACCATGTCTGTGTCACTAAAAACCCCACAAAAACTATCAAAAATACACAAGCCGCGCCAATGGTGATTAATTTGTAGCTTTTGTAATATTCTCCACATTGGATATATCTAAATTGTTGAACAATTTTAACAGTGTATAACTGTTACAGTGAAATATGCTTGTTACGATATTATTATATTTTTAAAAAATAAAAATACATGTATAAGCAAGAAAGGCGTTTGTATTACCTCGCCTCATTCCTACCCTTCTGTGAAAAATAGGACTAAACTGGGAATTGATATTATGTCCCAGCTGTGAAAGAGAGAGGTAAAAACCACATAAAACATAGAATCTAAATGTTAAAACCACACCATACGATTATTTTATCTCTGCATTTCTTACAACTTACAATGAAACAATTGATGCTCAACTTTACCTTCCCGAACACGAGAAACCTTTCATGGACATAATGGACTTAGTTCCGTTCAAATCTCTTTACACTTTGGCACTTTTTACCCTGCACTATATTTTGTATATTGCCTTGTCTCAGCGAAGCCCTTGTTGTAATAGACATACACAGACTTTCTTGCATTTCTGAACCTCTACACGTCAAAGAACACATTTAAATTACAATTTGATATAGATACTCTATGAAAAATGTGTATTGCATGTTTTAAGTTGGCATGTTCTGGGATGCAGTACAACCCATATTTCATTATTTAAGCTGCAACAATATAAAGAAAATGGCGATTTGACTTATTGCACAAAATATCACTTTCAAATTTTGGTTTAGAAGATATATACATCTAGACTTGAATGGACATGTCAATTTATTTGATTACTGTAAAATGTATAGCATTTTTGTACATTTAATAGTGAACGGTCATTTAAATGTAGAAAAAAAAACGCATCAAGTTTGTTTATAGATACAGTTTATATTTCACAATGATATGAACATGAAATCAAATGACGAATAATGCACGTCGACCAATTGGTTGGGTCTGGAAAAAAAGAAAGGAAAATATTTCTTTAATCTTGAACTTTGTTTGACTAACTAAACTTATCAAAACCATTACTGGAATGTAAAAATCAGCAATATTGCAAAAAAAAAAAATTAACCTTAAATCTAAGAGTGACCTTCATTATGGTCAGTAGCTGCATATATAATTAACAAAAGTAGCACAGCCCAATATCGACATATTTCGGTAGCTTGAACAAACTTTATATTGACTTGTGATAATTTTTCTCATTATTTACTATCAGAATCGTATTCTAATGTTATCCGAATGTTATTTAAAATTCGACACCATTGCAAATCAAACATTCAACATTATTACCTGTCTCGGTTCACACTGGGCTGGAACATCGAACACGGCTCTGTTTGCTATACCTGGACTAATGTTAGCAAACGATAAAGCCTCCATTGTTTCCGCTGTAACAGACAATTGTACATGTTACCTACTCAAAACTTATCAGACGACATTTCAAACTGCACTTGCTGCATTTTAAGCGTCGCTGTGTGACGATACAATTGAAAAAAGATGTTAAAAATTTAACTTCAACCCTTAACTTGCTGAATGTGGCCAATTGCAGAACAAAATTCATTAGCCGAGATAAGCAAAGGACTATAGTGTATTAATAACTGATGACACTAAAATTTCATTTGAAATACTGAAAAAGCGATCCAAAGTCGAGATAAAGAAATATACAGTATTTTGCCGGCTCGCCACGGCGAGCCGGTATTACGTTAGGATTTTACTTAGAAACAACCTAAAACTCCGAATCCATCCAAAAATTTAATCTAAGCTTGGCTTCCAGCTTTCTACAAAATTTATCTGTCTGGGCTGGAATCCAAAATAATTAAGCCAATCAAATTTGATCTTACATAGCGTCAAAAAACCTTCAATTTTCACGCCATTTTTAAAAAGCAACAAGTATTGCTTTGAGCGCAAAGATAATAATGATGATAAAATATTTGTTTTCATGAATTCTTTTCAATAAATCATATTTACACTGACTTTTGATTTAGCGATTTCACCTGTTTTCTCTGTAGTATGTTAAATAATTAACAATTAATTGGTTAATTAACATAAGTGTTCATCTGGTTCTGTGCATATTTTCTTTTTCTTTTTTTTCCGGTAATTTTATCCTTTCCGGTATTTTGTGTATGTATTTACTGGGATATACTATTCTCCGGTCCGGTCGCTTCAGGTCTCTCCCGGTCTATTTTGACCGGGATTTACGAGACTTGAGAACTTGTACAAATCAAATAATCATACCCCATGAATCTAAATTCGCCCACACCCAAGAGAGTTCTTCAGTAATATATTCCTGTATAGGACTTGTGTCTGTCACTCATTCCAATACTAAATAACATATTACAACTTAACTTTGTATAAAGAGACATCTTTATGAATTCTACCTATCTAACATTTTTTGGTCAAGGTCAACAGGCCATATAGTAAATGTGCATAGACATAGGGACTTCATTCTATCTGTTTACATGCATCTTCATATATACTCATATTCCCCTTTATTTATATGTCACTTTTATTTTGATGTTCCCTGAAGTCTCTTCAGGTACAGAACTGTCATTTTTACATTTAAACACACCCCTGGAATAAAATTACGAAGCGAGTCGCTACTAGCTTTTTTAAAAGCTAACCTTGTATGTAGATAAAGTAGGGAAAATATCGGGATCGAGATAACGAAAATGGAATCAAACGATGTCGAGATAACGATTTGGGATAGTTCGTTCAAAGGATTTCAAAATTAAAATACCAACAGATTAAAGCATGAACAGACTGCACGAATATGCAGACTGGCTTTGCTCTATACTGGTGACAAATGCTTATCAAGTTTGGTTCCAGCAGGTTAAACAAACAATTATGAATGAAGTCTTGTTGTCTTTCTTATATTTCTTTTTTTTGTATTTTTTCTTTTGTTGATATTTGAAAAGATTTGACTAGAAAATGCGTTAAATATAAGAAGAGTTCTAGAAGATGCATGGAAATATAAGTAGAGAAGAAGAAAAT